GGGATAAGAAGCAGCAGCTTGGAATCCCTTAAACACTGAGCAGTTTCTCAAATGCTATTGCAGCCTGCTCTGCCGTTATTCAGTTTGGGGCCTAGCTAAATGTCTGTCTGTAGCATTTGGCCAAGATATGTGCATTGATGGATTAATTCAATGGGTTATTTATCCTATAAAAGGCAGCCAGGTGACTTAGCGGACAGAGCGCTGAACTTTAGACAGGAACATCTGAATTCAAATCCTGCCTCAGACACTAACTAGCTGTGTGACTCTGGGCAAGTCACTGTCACCTCTTGCTGACTCAGTTTCCTCAACTGTAAAATGGGGATAATAATAACACCTACCTCCCAGGGTTGTGTTTTGCCAAGGTTAAAATACCCCGTAGATACGGACTAGTGATTTATTTGATCCAAGGAACTCTCAGGTTACTCTCTACCGATGCTGGACGGCACCTTTTCTGTAACTTTTAACTTACAGTTTCAGAGAGTTGCCTAGGGTACTTCAAGATTAAGTGACTTATCCAAGGTCACACTATCACTAACCGTGTGTCAGAGGAAGGACCTGAATCTAGCTTTTCTAGATACAATAATAATAATAATTGCTAATGTTTAAATAGTGCTTACTACGTGTCTGGCACTGTGCTAATATCCATACTTTAGATATGATACTATACCGTTCAGTTGTGTCTGACTCTTCTTGACCCTATTTGGGGTACTCCTGGCAAAGATACTGGAGTGGGTTTGCCATTTCCTTCTCCATCTCGTTTTACAAATGAGGAAACGGAGGCAAACAGAGTTAAGTGACTTGCCCAGGGTTATGCCTCTAATAAATGTCTGAGGCCAGATTTGAACTCGGGAAGGTGAGTCTTCCTGATTCCAGGCCCAGAACTCCGTCCACTGTGCCACCTAGCTGCCCATCATACTATATTACAATATCGATATTTTATAGCCTGACCACCAGCATCTACACCTCAGAGTGTACATCACAGACATTCTTTATCCATTTGGTTTTTGGTTTTTCCAGAAAGCATTACTTGATTAATCTCCCCTTCTGAGAGAAAAAAAGTTTTACGGACCCCTTTCATAATCAGAATAGAAATATCATCTTCACCCCTCAAACCAAAATATCTTTTGTAACAAAAAGCCAATCTCTTTCGACTGGCTATGGATCTAAGAACTAATTGAAGTAATACTATATTAATGATGTTATTGTGAAATAACACTGTTCAAGGTAACTGTATAAAGGGCGTGCCTATAAACAAAGTGGCCTTGAGCAGACAATAAATGTAGCATTTATTATCTCTGAAGTTCAGCGGGTACACTGTCATAAGGGAGAGGAAGGGGGCGGTTCTCTCCTCCTCCACCCTGGCTGAGTCAAGGTGGTCACAGGACAAGTGGGGAGAACTAACCACCTTCTCCCTTACATCACCTTGTGTGACCCAACATCTTGCTGCCTAATGGTTTGGTTTAACTCCTATTAGCTCCTTAGCTGGGCGACCTCAGCCATGAAACTGATCCACCTTGAGCTCAGTTTTCTAAACTGCAAAAGCAGCGATTGCTCCTTGCACTATCGAGTTCCCATCCATGGTTATTACCATCCTTTAACTTTCTTCTGAGGGCAGGGGAATGTATCTCTCTGTATCTTTTCAAAGCATCTCAATGTATGATCCTCAGACCCATATGGATCCAAGGACCCTTTCAGAGATCCTCAAGGTAAAAGCTGTTTTCATACTACTAAGACACTATCTGCATATTAAAATACTTTTTCCTTTTCTAGCTACATATCTGGCTGAGGTCATATTTTCTTTATACTTCAAGTAAAACAACAGATTGAATGCAGAAACAGATATGAGAACCTGGATAATCTTCTATTAAACTAGACATTAAAGAGAATTACAAAAATATGTAAAACAATGTCATTCTTCTCTTTAAATTTTTTTTTTGTAAAGTACAGTTACTTTCATAAAAACATAGTATTCATGTTATCATGTAATAGGTTTGCAATGATTATTTTAAACAAATAAATAAATATTTAAATTTGAACCACTTTTAATTTCTAGTATGGTATCAATAGATATAACCTATATAAACCAAAGTTCTTTGGGGTCCTCCATTTTTAAGAGTGTAAAGGGGTCCTGAAATTTAAAAAAAAATATTGAGAATTGCTATTGCAGCACAATGGAAATGGATTAGGAATCCACCAGCAGCCCTAGGTCTGCCTGTTTCTTGTAGTATGACCTTGGATAAGTCACTTATTTATTCTTGATCTCATTTTATGCATTTGCAAAATGAAGAGATGGAGTACATCAGAGGTGCCACACATCTGTCCGCAAAATTCCCAAACTGGGCTTGAACCAGATTAAAGGGAAATATTTAACAAAATAAATAAAAATCCAATAGAACATAGATAATATTAATATGTGGTTTTCTAAGTCAATATGTAGCCTGCAGGGATCCTTGTGTATGGTTTAGTGGTCTCCATTTCTATTTGGGTTTGACACCACTTGAAATGAAATATAGCTTCAGGTATACTATCTGAACCTTGTGCCGGCTTTGGAGTAAGAGAAACCCAAATAAAATTCTAACTCCGATACTAACCTACTACTCTGGTGACCTTGGATAAATTAATCAATCAACCTAATCTCTCTGGGTCTCAGGTTCGCCAGTAAAATCGGGGGCTGAACTAGACGGCATCTGAAGCCCCTTCCAGCTTGAAAGCTACGATACTGCGACCTCTTCCACTCCAATGGGCTGTGATAGTCTAGGCAATGTCTCACCTTGGTGGAATGGGCAGCCTGGGACACAAGGAGGCAGCATGTGGACTCCGGGTGTAGTTGACAGAATTCAAATTATAAACACACAGGAAGGAACCTAAAAGAGAGAGAGACGAGAATCTGATGAGTCTGGTGGGCTCTGAGGGTTTCCCTGTGTTTCTGTGGTCTATCCTGACCCCTGCCTGGAAGGAAATATTCCCTACAATATCTCTAACAGACATTAGTCCCTCCTTCCAGATGGTGTCAAACCCCTTGCTCTGAGACACTGATTATCTCTTTACTGAATTGTGGGTGAAACAGAGTGAGTGAGCCTGAGCTGGGAAGAGAGGCTGAAGATGAGTGCTGATTAGGGCTCTGGATCAGTTGAGACGCCCCTGTCTCTGCCTCTGGCTCTCTTAACGAAGCTGGTTTTTCACATGCCCCAGCAGCAGTGATAGGTATTAGGCAGCACAGCATTGTTGTGCAATAGGAAGAATGCTATATTTGGAGGTGGAGAATGGTTAAGCAGCAGTTTATTTGGGGGAAAAAAAAGATCTGAAGATTTCAGTGGACTGCAAGCTTCATGAGAGTATAGGCTGCTGCAGACAAAATAAGTATATTTTTCCAAAGTCTAAGTTCAAGGATTCTCTCCCCTTCCTTCTTCTCTGAATTAACATAATTCCCCCCCCCCCCCCCCGGCCACTGCCCTTCCCGGTAATAAATCATCTTGCACTGGCCCACCTGTTGAATGGTGGCATTCTCCACGGGGGAAGAAGTGTTTTCCAGCCTATAGCACATACATACAAGGAGCAACTAATGTTTCAGCTAAATCCAGACATACCTGGGTGAAACTGGACAAGCTACAGAGAAACCTATTGCTTCCAATGCAAGGAAATCACAGCAAGGAAGTAAAACATCCCAAGAAACTCAGCTCACAACATCCCCCAACATGCTGTACATCTTGTTTCAGACACACAGGGAAGGCAGGGAGCTGGTCTGTGCTGCCTAATCCCTACCATTGTTCTTGGCAAAAAGCTCAACATCTTCCAGAGTGTCTAACTGTTCTTCTGGACAGCTGGATACACAGAGAGCAATGGAATTGATTTTGAGGTCTTTGGTTTCCAGATCACAGGAATTCATGAAGAATACATGCCTAGGGAGAGGAGAGAATAGAATTATGTTTAAGGTCATTTTTCTTATTAATTTTTAACTGCAATTTTTAAAGTATTTATGGGCAGCTGGTGGTGCTGGGCCTGGGGTCAGGAAGACCTGAGTTCAAATTCAGCCTCAGACACTTACTAGCTGTGTAACCCTGGGCAAGTCATTTAATCCTGTCTGCCTCAGTTTCCTCATCTGTAAAATGAAATGGAGAAAGAAATGGCAAACTACTCCAGTATCTTTGTCAAGAAGACCCCAAATGAGGTCTGAAAGAGTCGATATGACTGAAAATTTTTTTTTAAAAAAAAGTATTTATAGAGTGGAAAGCACATTGGATTTCGAGTCAGAGGAACTGGGTTAAAATCCTGGCGATGTCACTTACTGCCTGTGTGACCTCTGAGTCTGTTTTCACATTTTGTTAAAACAAAGGTATTAGGCTAAATCAGAGGTTCCCAAACTTACTTGGCCTATACTCCCTTTTAAAAATATTACTCACTGCCCCCCTGGAAATCTACTTTTTTTAACCCTTTAAATTTTTTTTTTAAATTTGCATCATTTAAAAAAATACTGGGTCCCCCTCCACCATTGTTCCAGCACCCCTAGCTGGCAGTATCACCCACTCTGGGAACCTATGGGCTAGGTGACTTCTAAGGTCCCTTCTAACTCTAAATCTCAGTCTATGATTCCACGATATCAATACTGGGCACCAAACAGAAGTATTAACATTTACACTAACATTTCTATTCCCTCAAACTTATCATCTTCACAGAGGTAGCTGTACTTGTGTGACTCTGAATTTGAACTCGTAAAATGAATGGGTTGGACTTGATAAGGCCACTAGATAATGCAGTGATGGAGTACCAGTCCTACCAGTCCCAGAGTCAGGAAGACTTGAGTTCAAATCCAGCCTCAGACACGCACTACCTTTGTGACCCTGGGCAAGTCATTTAACCTCTGTTTGGCTAAAATGGGGATAATAACAGCATCAACCTCCTAGAATTATTTTGATGATCAAATGAAATAATAATTATAAAGCACTTAGACAGTGTCTGGCATATAACAGTTACTTAATAAATGCTTGTTTCCTGCCTCGTAGATAATCACCAAGATCCCTTTTGGTCCCGTGAGTCTGTGATCCAGAGCAGAAATAGCTGTTAAATAGAGCCTGGACACAGTTTGTGGTGAGTTACCTAAAATATACTTACATAAGTACTTTTATATATACTTATATATAAGTATAAATACACTTATATTTAAAATATACTTATATATAATATACACACACACCATATATAGCGTGTGTGTGTATATATATATTTGTATGTATGTATGTATGTATGTGTGATATATACACACACTCTCTCTTATGTATGGATTTGTTTTCTCCCTCATTAGAATGTAATCTTGGGAGTCAGAATTGTTTTATTCTTTGGGCTTACGTCTTTAATACCTAGCACATTCTTACTAGCTATGTGACCCTGGGCAAGTCACTTTACCTCACTGCCTCGCAGACAAAAAAAAAAACCTAGCACATAGTAGGTATGTAATAAATGCTTGTTGATTGATTATAATAAATGAGAAGGGCAGCAAGATAGGGCTGAAATAAGACCAACCTTCAGGTCTTGCCTCTTACACAGATTAATAATGTGACTGGAGGGGGTTTGGAGGGGAGGGTGCTAGTAATTTTTCCTCTAAAGGCCCTTGGCAACTTTCTAAAATCATAAATGACAAATGAGTTGCTGCTCTGTGTCCGAAGAGGGAGTTTCCACCCTGGCAGCTCCTCATATGAATGAGATCACAGGTCCCAAACTCTAACAAAATATATTTCAAACCCGAGTGTGTTCAAGTAAACTTTCACATAACTTTCCACAGGGTAGGGGGAGTAGGAAAGTAGAGGAAAGGGGAAGGGATGGGGCAGAAAGGAACAACAGCCTCATTTCTCTTGCACGAGGGCACACATGTATGTACACATACATGTACAAACAAGCACACATTTTGTGCAGGGCAGCACCACATGCGGCCCTCTCCTGCATTCAAAAAACTCTTAAGAGCTTTTAGGGTATTGGTCTGGGGAGAACAAAATTCACATGACTGAGACTGGGCATTCTCCTTCCCCACTGAGCAGAAACATTCCCTCTCCTTCCCTCCCCCTCCCTCCCACTTCAGTGCTCCTCTATGCTGCTGACAGGGATGGAGAGCCTCAAAACCACCAGCAGCTACGTTCCTTTCCTTCTGCCTACCAATACACCCAGGTCTCCCTGAGTTAAACCAACAACAAAACCATACATTTCTCTTGCCAATTCCCTTCTCCATCACTACCTCCTCAAGCTGTTGTACCGTCTTCTTTCCTTTGCTATCAAAGTTCTAGAAAAAGTTTTTGCTAAACTATCTACTCACTCAATCCTCCACCTCCTGAATTGGGTTTCTGTCCCCAGTTTCCTGAAACTGTTCTTTCCCAGGTCAACAATGGCTTCCTAATTCTCCAGTCCAAAAAGCCCCTTCATGAGCTCCCCTGACCAGTAAGTGAGTTTGAGGGCTGCAGTTGCATCAGAAAGATGTTATTTTTTGTTATTGTTGTTGAATTATTTTTCAGTCATGTCCAACTCTTCATGACCCCATTGGGGGTTTTCTTAGCAAGATACTGGAGTGGCTTGCCATTTCCTTCTCCAGCCCATTTTATAGATGAAGAACTGAGGCAAACAGGGTCACATAGGTAGCAAGTGTCTGAGGCTGGATTTGAAGTCATGAAGACAGAATCTTCTTGATTCCAAGCCCAGTGTTCTATCCACTGTACCACCTAGCTGCCCCTTCTAGCAGTCAGGAAGACCTGAGTTCAAATCCTGCTTCAGACAACGAAGAACTCTGTGAGCCAGGACTTATCTCCTTTCATCCTCAGGGATTAGACTTCATGGCTTCTAAGGCCCCTTCTACCTCTAAACCTATGTTCCTATGACTATTCTATAACACCTAGTCCCATGGACTACTGATGAGTCTTTTGCTCTTTAACCTTCCATGACATGGCTTTCATGTACCCCCACTCTCTTCTTTTTGGTTTATTTCTCTAGTTCTTCTTTCTCTTATCTTCTGTGGACATACCCCAAAGTTATTTTTTAAAATTTTATTTATTTTATTTTCAATTCATGGGATAAAACAAGCATTTCTATAATACAGTATAATAAAAAATGATTGCACATGAAACTGCAAGTCTATTATGTACAACTTGGTATTCCTTTTAAAAATATAATAAAGCTATCTACCATGTAAATTTGTTTTCCCCCTCCTCCCTCTGTCCCTAGATGGCTACCATTATTCACACATAAAACATTCTACACATACCTCTAATTACCAGTTCTTTCTCTGGAAACTCTTTCACCCTCCCCCCCTCCCCCTTTTAAAGATTTTCTTCTCTTCTATTTATATTATCTTTTGGGGCAATCTTATCTAGTCTCCTGGCTCTCTCTTATCTTTACTCCCAAACTCTTCACTGAACTCTATCCTTATTTTCCCAACTTCTTGTTGAATGTTACCATTTCCACCTGGATGTCTCTGTGATATTTCGAACTCTGTCAAAAACAGAAGTCATCTTCCCACCTTAAAAGGCTGTCACGTGTAAGAGAGGTCAGATTTTATCTGTCTGGCCCCAAAGGGCAGACCAGGAAAAAACATTTTTTTTTAAACAAGGAGAACTAGCCCAAAGTGGAATGGACTGCCTTGGGACATATCCTTGGAATGGAGGGCACTCTCCATCAGTGGAGGTCTTCAAGCAAACAGACAGAGGATGGCCACTTGTTGGGGTTGTGCATGGTTTGTCCTTTGTTCTTGAAGAGGACCATGACATCAGGGAGATGAGGACATGACCTGTGGCTGAATTGGATTTGAGTGAGGGAGGGCTGTGCAAAGTCCCCAGCCTCACTTTCTCCTCCAGAGCCATCACCCCTTGGCGTGTGTTGTAGTCTGATTCCTTTTGGGCCATAGGTTGGACTAGACAACAGCTGATATTTCTTCCATCAGTCATGTCCCTCCTCCTAATTTTTCCATTTCTGTTGATGGCGTCACCACCCACCCTGTCACACAAGCCCCAAACCTCAGATTTCTCTTTGGTTCTTCCCCCTCTCTCATCCCTACATGCTCAATCAGCTGGAAAGACATGGATTCTACCCTCCCATACCTGCTCTAGTTCAGGTCTTCATCACTGTTCAAAAAGACTACAGCAAGAAACAGCTTTCTAATTTGCCCATCTGTAATGTCTCCTCTCTCCACTGGGTCCTTTACATCACCATCACAATAATCTGAGTGCACAGATCTGATCATACTATTTTTCTGTGCTCAAGAGTAGTTTAATAGCTCCCCATTCCCTATGGAGTAAAATACAAAGTCTGACATTCAAGGCCCTCTACAATTGGGTCCAACTTTCCTTTCCTGCTATAATTCCCGCTAGTCTCCTTTAACCAAACTGGACATGTTCTTCCTGTTTTGTGTCTAAAGAAAGTTTATATGCTGTCTATTGAAACCATTCTTTTTTTTTTTAAAAGGCTGCTCAAAGTTTATTAGTTTCTATTGAGTACAAAGTAAACAAGTTACTGAGGCTGCTGGAAAGCACATAGATGATTCAGATAGTAAAAAAAACAAAACAAAACCAGTAACTGTGCTTTCTTTTACTTGCTTTTTGGTGTTTTGTTTTTATTTTCCTTTAAACACACACACACCCACCCCCACATCCCCACAACTACTTCTATGCTAAGCAGCCTGTCTATTCTAAGGGAATAGGTGGGAGAGGGAAGCAGGGGAGGGGAGGGGAAATGGGCTCTGATGCCTAGCACACTTAAGAAGTGGGGAGGAGAGGCAAGGTGGGTGCTGCTGCTCATGAAGAAGGCCCAGGCCTGGTCTTGCTGGGCTCACTGACACACCACTTCCTCATGGCCTCCTCACCCAGGTCACAGGTGATCGTGCGATGAGCAACCCGGAAAGTTCCTGAGTGCTCTGGGGATTCCAATACAGCTATCATGAATGGATGACTCGACTTCCCGAAGAAGCAGCTTGTCTACCAGTGGCCTGGGTCTGATTTGGGAAGACCAGGATGATGGGGGATCACTTCCCCAGAATACTCAGCCCTTCCACAGGAGCTGTTGCTGGAAGTGGAACCTAGACATCTTTGGTAGTAGGTCGTGTGTTGCTACGAATGAACTGCTGGATGGGACTGCTGCCATGTTGCTCTGTTCTTGTTGTGACGATGCAAACCTTAGAGGCGGCTCCCGAGCAGCCCCCGTCAGGCCGTGAGCTTCGGCGGACCATCACGGGTGACCTGGCTTGGGGGAAGGAGGCGCCAGGTCACAGAGCCCATTTGTAAAAGAGATCACAGGCGGATACTCCATGGCAACGAAAACGTCAGAGTTCTTCGGGTTTCAACCACTCCCTTTCTTCACAGACGTTATCCCATCTACAAAGATTCCCTTGAAATTCTGCCCAACCTCTCCTTTGCACACACTTGTATTCTACCTAGTATGAGAGCTGTTATATAGGTGTCTCACCTCCTTCCCCACTAGACTGAGTGCTCCTTGAGGGCAAGGCCTATGTCTAGTCCAGGGGTGGGGAACCTGGAACCTCAAGGCCCTCTAGGTCCTCAAGTGCGGCCCTCTGACTGAATCCAAACTCACAGAAGCAATCGCCTTAATAAAAGGATTTGTTCTGTGAAGTTTGGATTCAGTCAAAGGGCTGCAGTGGAGGACTAGAGCTGCATGTGGCCTCAAGGCTGCAGGTTCCCCACCCCTGGGCTAGCCAAACAGGCTACTTTGGAAGGCAATGGGCTTCCCTTCCTCAGAAGTCTTCATGGAGGGTCTGTTTGCAAACCTTATGCTGCTATATAATTAGTCTTATTATTAGTATCCTATTTCTTGTAGGGTGTCTTGTAATGCGGGTTCCTTTCTGGTATGAATTGTGTATGAACAAGATGGCTGAGGTCCCTTCCAACTTTGAAATTCCATGATTCTGCATAATTTTTCACCTTTTTATTTCCTGTGTAAGTACAGGATCTTCATCTAGTAGGTGCTGAACCAGTGTTTGCCGAATTATAGGATTAAACAGATAAGGCGCTGGCTTGGGGAGGTCACAGGACCTAGGTTCAAATCGTGTCTCTGAAGATTACTACCTGGGTGACCATGAGCCAAACACTTAACCACCTTGGGCCTCAGTTTCATCACCTGTAAAAGGAAGGGGTTAGATCAGATGCCACCTGAGGTTCCAGCCAATTCTGGATCTACGATGCCATGACATATAATTAAAGACAGCTAGGTGGCACAACGGATAGAATGCTGGGCCTAGAGTCAGAAGATCTGAGTTCAAATCCAGCCTTAGACACTTACTAAATGTATGACCCTGGGCAAATTGCCTCATTTTCCTCAACTGTGAAATGGGGATAACATGGCACCTGCTTTGCATGGTTGTTGTAAGGATCAAATGAGGTATTTCTAAAGTGTTTAGCACAGCACCTGGCATGTAGTCGGCTGATGCTTATTCCCTTTCACCTTTCCTCTACGATCCTATGAACTACGGCTGTTTTGTAAAACATACAATGCTATAGATATAGCATTGTCATAGTACCTGAAGCAGGGACAATGATCTTATAGCTACTTAAGAAAACTGATGCGGACACTTACTTCCTTTCAGTCATGTCCTGTCCAGAAAGAGGGGCCCCTTCCACGGGGGAGTTCTTCTTGCCACACACATTCCCATAGCTGTCATAGCCAAACACCAGTCTTCCTGCAGCTCCAGCTATCACAGAATAGCCCATGATGAACACCTAGGTAAAACCCAAAGAGAACATGGGGTGAAGCTCAGCCTCATCCTGACAAAACTCACCGCCAGAAACTCTCAAAGAAACTTGAATGTGAAAAAGGAAAAATCTCATCATAGGATCACAGATCTAGAGTTGGAATGGATCTCAGAGGCTATCTAATCCCAACTCCCTCATTTTACATATAAGGAAACAAAGGATATTCAGTGACCTATTCAAGGTCACATAGGTAGTAAGCATCAAAGGGGATTTAAACCCAGGTCCTTTGCCTGCAGAGCTAGAGCTCTTTAAACTGTAGCACTCACCATCATCTTAGATCTCTAGTAAGTAGCGTTAACAGGCCCAATTCAATTAGGAATCCTCTACTCTTCCTCATATTTCATATTTCAGCTTCATGGTCCTCCGTTTATACAATAGGCTATACTTTTTAACTGCTTTAAAAAATCTGATGATTGGATTTCTTTGCATTTTTTCATCTTTAGGTATGAGGAAATTTTCTCCTCACCCAATCTTCCTTAAGACCTGCTAATTTTTAAACTGGGCTTGGGAGACTTTGAATTCTGCCTCAAGTTCCTCACCTGTAAAACGGGTTCATTGGAGGGCGCATAGGGATAATAGTATTTCTGATGTGGGTACATAGAGGATTGTTGTGAGGATCGATGAAAAAATCTACGAAAAGTGCTCTGTGCACCTGAAAGCATATTATCATATTGTGTTAGCTGCTGTTACTCTTTCTCATGAAGATAATAGATTATTTTCTCTCCTAATTGTTGCTGGATTACCTACATGAGAGTTGCCCTTCTACCTTCTAATTCTCTGTTTTCTCCGTGTCTAGGATTCTCTCTCCTTTGGAAGAACTGGTCTGACTTCAGCGACAGTAAGGCTGGTCAATGCAGACATTTTATTTATGAAGAGAAGACCATAGAAAAACAAGGAAGACCACTCAAGTCAGGACTTCCTCCCACCAGTGAGATGTAGTATAATCTTCAAGCAGTATCTCTCTCTCTGCTGGCCTCATGATTTTCCGCTTGGCCCCTAGTTAGGCACACTGTGCTTGGCCCTTATTAGAGGCAGTCGAATTGCCCTTTTCCCAGGGCTCTGACTTAGGAAAGTGAAGGCCTTTTTCAGCTAAGGCCTCTTTCCCAGAATGGGCTTGGAACTGAGAACTGATGATTAAAACGAACATTTGTGAAAGAAAACAGCTCTGTGCAGGAATCTCTTTGCCTGCCTTTAAAGGTTAACACAAACTCTAGAACAATGTGGGAAGACCTACAATCAGAAGGGAAAATTAGTGACAAAACCTGAAGGAATGTTACATAACTCTCTCCAGTGGACCAGTACTTAAACGGTCAACATTTCTCCCTCCCTCTCCCTGAAAAAAACCCAAGAGCCCTTGAAACTCACCCTCAACCTGTCTATTGTACCTAGAGCATTTTATTTTATTCCCACATATTATGTTTAAGATGACAGATTTAGAGCAGGAAAGGGCTTCTGAGGTGATTTAATACAACCCCTTAATTTTACAGATGAGAAAAGTAAGAATTTGAATCCAGATTCTCTGGATTCCAAATTTTATATTCTTTCCACTGTCCCATACTAATTGTTCACAACCAACTGGCATGATAAAAGCTTTAGAGCTGGAAGGGAGCTTTGGAAGTCACTTAGTCCAACCTTCTCTTTTTACAGATGAGGAAATTGAGGCCCAGCGGGGAAAAAGGGAGGTGGCATAGTAGATAGACTGCTGGCCTTGGAGTCAACACTGACTGCATTCAAACCCTTCCACAGACAGGCTATAGCTGTGCGACCCTGGGCAACTCACTTGCCTCAGTTTGCTTCAGTTTCCTCATCTGTAAAATGGAGACAACAACAGCATCCACCTCACAGGGTTTCTGTGGCCTCTGTTTTTGTTTTGTTCACAGGGTTTCTGTGAGAATCAAATGTGATAACACATGTAACAACTCTTGGCAAATCTTAAAGCATTATCTAAAAGTTGGCTATTGTTATTATTATTCTTGTTGACCTGAGGTTACCCTGGTAGTGGGGAGTGTCCAGATTTGAACTGTAGCCGAAATCCAACCCTCTTCCCTCTTCATCCCGCTGCCTCATTGGAAACCAATTAGCAGAGTCAACAAACATTGTGTTTACCAGAGCTACCTGAGGACAAAAGTGACACCTGCCCACATTCAAGGCAGACCCGGGCTCCAAGCAATGGGGATTTCATTCCAGGTGCTCAGGCCTTGGAAGCTGTTCGTTGCTTTCAGAATTAATCATTGACAAGGCAGCAAATGGCATGCCCCAACCAGGTGAGATTAGTTCCTCTTGTTTACAATGAATAAAAGAGCTCTTTTCAGGTACAAAAGGTGGATCTTTGAGAAGAGACAGGGGGACCCTGTGAAGTAATCCTACAAACTCTTTGTGGAAATATATGAGCTGGGAAGATTAGAGATATAACCAAATTCACCTTAGCTGGAGAAAGGCCCTCGAAGGAGAGGGAGAGAGGGAGAGAGGGAGAGAGGGAGAGAGGGAGAGAGAGGGAGAGAGAGAGAGAGAGAGAGAGAGAGAGAGAGAGAGAGAGAGAGAGAGAGAGAGAGACAGACAGACAGACAGACAGACAGACAGACAGACAGACAGACAGACACGGGGGTGGGGTCAGTACCATTCACCTTAAAGCTAGGGCCAGGGCGTTGTTAACTGTTGGCTGCAAGCACAAAATATCAAAAGTTGTTCAGGACAACTCCCAAAAGAGACACTAGGACACTCTCCCTCATTTGTCTCAGTTTTAATTGCCAAGTGAGTAATCAAAATGTCTAGAAATTAGGACTGTGGGTTGAAAGCAGGAAGGGACCTCAGAAGCCATTTACACCAACCCCCCTCATTTTACAAATAAGGAAAACGAGATCCTTAGAGTTAAAAGTGACTTGCCTAAGGTCACAGAGGTATAAGTGGTAAATACTCTGATTCCAACTGGATACTAATGCTCCGACTACAAATTTAACATGCTTCTCAATATGCTAGGCTGCCTTCCATAATTCTTTTCACTGATTTCCATTTTTCTGTTTAGCAAAAAAAGGAAATCTTAAATTACCTTCTGAGAATCTCCTGCGCTCTCAGTCAGCAATCTCTGGTAGTAAGAGGATAAGCAAGAAGCACACATCCACAGAAAATGAAATGAAGACTGGATGACATTATCATCACTTGGCAAACTCCAGTGCCAGCATCCCTTAGAGAGGCTCCCATTAAGACCTGGCACAAGGCCATTAGGAGAAAATTTCACATGAGTTCAGGCCACAGGAAATTTCCAACAAGACTCCTCAGGATTAGCCATACAATGCAATACTATAGAATACACGTTAATTACCTGCCTAATAGGTGCCAGGCACTGTGCTAAACACTAGCATTTATATTTTTATAAAGCTAATTACGAAATTATTACTGCAGAAGATGTCTGAGCTTTGTAGAACCTTACAACTCAGGTTTCTAAGCCCTTCTAGGCACTAGAATCAGAGCTCGAATTTAGGTGCATCATTTCACATAAATCTTCTTTTCCCTCCCCCCCCCCAACAGTCCGCTCACCCCTAGGTCAACACACTTACCAAACCGACCCAAAAGAGAAAGAACAGGATTAACCAAGCTGGGTCTGTGCATTTTCTATAAATCTGGGGTCTCCACTCTCTCTGTCTCGGGCTTTCCTCTGCAGACACCTTTCAGAGAAAAGGAAAAACATAAGAGGTGGGGGGGGAGGCAGGAATAAAAAGTAGGAGAGGCTAAGAGGATTAGTAACCACGTGGGTCTCAACTTCCCAACCGAACCCCAGGAACTAAAATTGAAAGCTTTGACTTTTCTAACTATTCATTAATGGCAGAAATAAAATACCTGGAATTACTACTGCCCCAAGGGAGGGGTAGCTGTTTAGAAATCATTTTTGAAAGTAGCATTCGCTGTGCAAACCTTAAAATGCTATATAAATTCTAATCGTTGTTGCTGTTGTTATTATACCACCTGCTCGCTGCAGCCACACTCCCCTGGATGCAGCTTTAACTCTGCTTATGGCTCGATGCCATCTTCAAGGGCAAGAGCCGGGTCCCTCAATCCACTCCTACTATACACAGAGATTGCCCTTAGGATACGAAAGTAAGAGGAGTGAGGAGGAGAGGAGGCTGCAAGTTAGGCCACGGACCTACAGGTGGCCGGAAAGTTCGCTGCGGCCGGGACGGCTACGCCCCACAGTTCTGCGGCCTGGGGTCCCGGGGCGCCCTTCACTGCGCCGGCCCCCGCCCTCCTTGACCCTTCCCCCAGGATGCAATGGGGCAGCAGGTGCGGGGCCCGATGCCCCCCCACTCTGTGCAGGCTCCCCGTGGCTGGAGCCCGGCGCTTACCAGGTACTCCCCTCTGAAGCACGGCATTCTGCCAACCGGCTGGCCACCCACCGCTGGGGACTAGGAGCCGGGGCCACCCCCGCCGATGCCCAGGACAGGGAGATGCATGAGCTGCAGGCACAGCTGCCGGCAGGTAGTCTCTGTGGCTGCAGAGGGTGGAGCTCGGCGGGCAGCGCCTCCACGTGGCCAGCGGGGGCCTGCAGGGGCGTGGGCTGCCTACAGTGCCCAGGGCCAGGGGCCCCACCCCTCGCACCTTTCTCCGCCTCTCCCGAGCCCCGCCTCCCCGCCAGCCTCCAGGAGCCAGGTGACTTCCTAAGTCGCAAAAGGACCAGGACCTGGGCGTGAGTCACATTGTCTCATCTGCCCTGCGAACTTCATACCTGGGGGGACTAGAGAACTGGGAGGCTCACTGCCTTCCCGGGACACTGCGCCTGGGAGCAAATACAGAAACCCATCTGTTTTTTTCTGGAGCTAATACCCCTGGATGGAGTGGGAAGGGTACTGAATGTTGAGTTGGAAGACATATGGGTTCAAATCCCGCTTCTTAACATACTAGTTGTGTGACTGCAGCTTGTTGCAGGGATTGCCCAGTGATCTGTGCCACCTTGAACAAAGCACTTAACTTACTGGGCTTCAGTTCCCTCTATGGTAAAGCCGGGGGTTGTATTAGATGCCCTGGTCCTAAGTCATTTGACTTCACAGTGGCCCAGGCAACTCATCAGGTAGGTAATTCCGCGACCAAAAAGCTCACTGGATAGCAACCCTTTTCCACTCAGCAAGTCATTAAAGTAGGGCCGTGTGGTACAGTGGATAAACCAGTGACCCTAGAGTCAATTTATTAGATTCAAACCTTGTATCGAATAATTACTAGCTGTGTGACTCTGTGCAAGTCCTTTATCCTCTTTCTCCATGTGTAAAGTGGGGAAAATAAAAGCGCCTACCTTGGAGGTTAGTGTAAAGATCAAATGATATAATAATGTATGTGAAGCATTGTATAAATTCCAGATATTATGACCCTTACTGGATTATAAATTGTCTGAAGGTAAAAAACAATGTCTTATATGCCATCTGTTCCTAGGATAGTGTATTTTACAACTTCAATCAATACTGTGTGTTGAATGAATATTCAATATAATAATAATAGCATTTAGATAGTATTTTCTATAAAAAAATATTATCTCATTTGTTCCTCACAACAACCCTAGGAAGTTGGTGCTATCATTATTCTCACTTTACAGATGAGGAAACTGAGGCAAACAGAAGTTAAGTGACTTGTCCAGAGTCATACAGCTGATAAACATCCAAAGGTAGATTTGAAGTCAGGTTTGTGTGAATATGAGTCTAGCATTCTCTCCACTGTGCCACCTAGCTACCCCAAGAATGCAATACCCATCTAAGTGCATATTATTTGCCAGGCCTTTGTTAGGCTCTGGGGATATACAAAGACAAAGTGAAAACAGTTCCTGCCCTGCAGGGATTTACATTTTGCTTGGGGGGTGTAACCATGTACACAGATAAATAAATATGAAACATATACAAAATAATTTGGTGGGGGTTGGGACAGAAGGAACATGACCAACTAGTTGGGAGAATCACAGAGGGATTCTTGAGAGAGAAAGCATTGAGCTGATCCTTGAAGGGAGTTAGGGATTCTGACAGGGGACAGGAGAGAGAACATTCTTTTTTTATTTTCTTTTTTCTTTTCCACAAACCGAAAAATCTTTATTTTCTAGAAATAAGTATTTAAGATAATAGGATTTTTTGAGGGAGCATTTGCTCTTAGGAGGTTACTATAAAGATCAAGTGGTATAATAATGTATGTAAAGCATTCTATAAATTCCAGATATTATGACCCTTACTGGATTATAAATTCTTTGAAGGTAAAAAACAATGCTTTTAGCACAGGGCTTGGTACATGGCAAGCACTTTATAAATGCTTATTGACTGATATAGCTCCCTCTAAAAGAGGACAGAAGCTAAGATTTTAGCTGGGAGAGGTAGTATCTTAATTCATGGAATTGGTACATTTTGCTTTCTGGTATGCTGTGTTTCAGTTTCATCAAGACCCTGTAGGAAAAGTAGAGCAGGCATTGTTAGAACCAATCTCCAGAAAGTAAGGCTCAAGGGGGTAAGTGGTCAATAAGGAGAAGACAGAGTAGAATGTAATTAATGGGCCACTGTGACCTTTGAAAAATCATGCCAAATGGAGAGGTGTCACTGGCAGGAGACAGATAAATATCCTGACTTTTTTTCTCCCCCCCCCTTTTTTTTTTAAAGAAAAGGGATAAATTCTTCAAAGTCAGAGTCAGTAAGTTTGACTTCAATTCCTGCCAAAGTTCAAAATTCACTTGTCAATAATTTATTTTTTAATTCAAAACAAAAGCATTTATTGAAATAGGATTGTAAGAAAAGTATCAATAAAACACTTTCCCCCATGAAGCTAAGGCACTACTCTCTCCCCCAAATGCATGCATTGTCCTGTAGGAAAAGTGG